TGTGGATTTGAAGATGTGATTCCTCATCTTCCACATCCAACTTCCTGTTGTCATGTCTTCCTCACCATCACGAACTTTCCTTCCGGAACTATGAGCCCAAATCAACTCATCCATAAGTTACTTGTGTTCGTAGTGTCTTGTCACAGCAAGCAGCGTAACCAATACAGTGGCCGAGAGCAGAAGATTTTCCTGTCTCCTCTTATGTTGGCAGTGGCTTAAGGAGATAACTTTTGCCCGATGAGAAACCTGTGTAGTGATTGTTTTTCTTAGTAAACACTTATTTATCCATCTTCATTCTCCACTAAATCCCATGCTCCTGGGGATTTCATAGCCCACGGAAAACATATCAAATAAGTCAATAACTGAAAATTGTAATGAATACAGTGATCAGGGCAAGTGTAGAGCATATGGGAAAGCCAAAACGTGGGGAGTCAGAAAAGTGACCACATGGTGATGAAGGCATGTCACCACACACTGACACCTTAGACATGCATCTTGTTGGCTGATCTGCTGGGGTGAAAACACAGAGAAATATATCAAACAAAATTAAAATTGTAAATCACATTGAAAGGCTGTGAAGTCATCCATCTAGTATTTCCTCTAACAGTATCTTTTCCCAGAACACACCTACCATTTCTCTGTCTCCAGAAGGCACCGTGAGGATGCGCCAGGCATAGCTCCATAACTTTATGGTCCTTGCACTTTTCTTTCTTCTCAAGACTTTGCTCCCCTTAATCCATTTACTTTGGCTCAGGTGGGAGCGGGGAGGGTCCTCTTGGTCAGATATCTATCATTGTAGAGGAAGGGTAATTAAATGATTCAGTGGAGCTCTGTCAGCTGTGATGTGAACCTCTTACTCGCATGCTCTCAACTGTCCACCTCTGCACGACTGGCCCGAGGCGGTCTGTACGTGATGCTCAGAGATTTCCTTCACTCAGGTCCAGGCGAGTCCTTCAGAGTTGGAACACCCTGCCTGCCTGTCTGTCTTCTTATAGACACCATCTTCTGAAGCAGAAACTCACTCCTGGATCCTGTCTGTCTTGGCTTTCTGAACACTCCAGTTTCTTAGGAGATGGCCAGACAAGCAGTCACCGGGGATGTACCGGCTGCCAGAGTACCATTTTCATGCAAGATCAGTTCTCATTTTAATTTGCTTTAAAGGTGAGAAGTTGAGCTCAACTACAGAGACATGAAATAGCAGGATGCATTCCCTCCCCACCTCCAAAGGTCTGGTAAAAAACCAAAAGGCATCAAATAATCAAATATAATGTGAGAATCTCAAGAAAGAGAAGCATTCGAGCCATACATAGACCACACTTTAAAATATTTTTATTATATTTTGAGAAGTTCATACAGTGTACTTTGGAAATATTCGCCCTCAGCTTCTCCCAGAACCAACCCCACTTCTCTATGCATCCATAGATAGAATAGAATAAAATAGACTAGGAATAAAAATAGAACTGTGTATTCTATGTTTAATTAAAAATTTAAAAACTCGTCAGGAACTCATTAAGTCTAATTTGTGTTTCTCGAATACTCTGGGGTGTGGGACCTGCTCTGGAGTAGGGTCCATCTATTACAGGTCAGCTCCTCATAGAAAATGGACCGTGCCGCTCTCAGCAGGTATTAAATGCTAAATCCACGAGGGCTCCATGCTCACCTCACCACTCCGTGCTGGGGTTTTGTTGGGTGTGAGCTCTTGTGCATTCTGTACCAGCTGCTGCGAGTTCATTGTGACACTGCCCGATTGTAGCTGGGGACAGGGTGGCCTTGGCGTCATCCACTGCCTCTGGCTCTTATGAACTTTCCCCCATCTCTGATACCATATTTTTAACTGAAAAGAAAAGAAAGATGGATGGAAGAAAGGGAGGGAAGGATGGAGGCACGGAGGAAGGGAGGGAGGGAGGAAGGGAGAGAGGGAGGAAGGAAGGGAGGGAGGGAGGGAGGAAGAGAAACAGACTGGTGCCTCAGTTGGAAAGAAACTTGGACTTGACGTGAATTCTTTCCTCCTGAAGCAGATGGAGGTGCAGGAGAGCTGGGACTGAGACAGGGGCAGACTTACTCAGAAAACTTTCCCCAGGCAGGATGGCCTCTTGGCAGGAGCCAAGCATTGCACAGTTGTCAATTTCCAGGTGACGGTTCTTTCTCAGAACTTCCCCTAGTCTTTTGTGGTCTGATTTAACAACCACAGTTTCAGCAAAGATGCTTGTGACCTGGAGCAGGGTATAGGAAGGCCCAGGAAGCCCCAGGCTGGAGGGCCACTCATCTCTCCCTTAGGAAGCTGGGAACTGTAGAGCTTATGCCTTTTTAAAGCTTATTTGAATGTGTTTATAATATTTACAGCATGCAACTTTTTCCCCACAAGGTGTTGAAATTATTAGTCATGAATGACATCAAAGTGCAGATATGTTAATTACCACAAGGCCTGAAGTATCTTTTTCGTGTGTTTAACTTTTTTTTGTTTATTCTTTGCGTCTTTTACATCATGCATCTCCATCCAATTTATTTCCTTGTCCCTTCGTATCTGACCCCTGCCCTTGCTACGCGCCCCTGCAAATAAAATACAGTAAAATTTAAGAGGAAAAAAAAAGAAAAGAAAAACAGAGAAGAAAAGTTAATCTCGCCACGGAAGCTGTAGTGGGACACAGTGAGTCATGCAGCAAACCTTTCTGTCCATGTATCTTTAGCTGCAGTGTTCATTGCAAAGAGTCACTGGTCTGGTTGGAGGCCTCTGGTTTCTGCTATACTGTTGATGCTGGGCCCTCACTGAGTCTCCTCTTGGTTATCCTGCTCTTGCCCTGTGCTGTGGAGATCTGGAGGCTTTGGGTCTGCAGGGGTACTCACCTGGCTGCTGTAGCTCCCCAGAGCTACCTCAGCCATGCAGCCCAATCCCAGGCAAAGGAAGTCTGGGAGTCTCTTCTCAGCTGTCTGTTTTGGGCCCGATATCCAATGGACTTCTGATATCAAATGGATTGTCACCCACAAAACCATACGACTTACTGGTTCACACTGCCATGTGACTTCTCTTAGCAGGCAACCACAGGAAATGCCCCGCTCCACACCCACAGACCACCTGGAATAGTAGGACTTCTTTTAATACTGAACCAAGACTGAAGATTCAGAATTTGAATTCACATTTCACCAAAGGAGCCTCACTCCAATAGCTTGTATTGCAGGATGAACGATCAATACAGTACGTTCTACTTAGAAGTGTTCAGTCACTGTTTATTTAACCATCGGGTCCCTAATGTGGTCATCCTGTTAGATTTGGGGCCTACAAGATTACTGTCAGTGACAGAAGGAAGAAATTGTTTTAAATGTGAGCTCTTTTGGAAAAGAAATTCTAAGAGAAGAACAGAACACAGAGAGAATATGTCGGGGCTGGTGGGAAAGAGAAATACTCAATAGTTACCAATTCTGTCAATAGAGTTCTTTCTCAAACTTCTCCCAGCCTGGAACTGAAAGAAAAAAAAATCCCAAACAAGCAAAACAAAACAAACAAACAAACAAACAAACCAAGGCTTAGCTGCTCTGTCTCCAGCTTGGATGGGAAAGCAGTCTTTCCCCTACAGGAGAAAAGTGGAATCAAATCTCATCAGTATCTGGTCTCAAAAAGTAGCTCTCGTACTGGAGAGATGGTGCAGCCAGTAAGAGCCCCAACATGAGGGCTTGCCAGATTCCCAGAGCCTACAGGCAAAGCCAAGTATGGTTGCACAGGCTTGTGACACCAGTGCTGGGGGAGGGGGCGACAGGAGGGTCACCGGGGCTTGCTGGTTGACCCTGTCTTCACACACACACACACACACACACACACACACACACACACACACACAC